TCTCTGTCTCTCTGTCTCACTCTCTCACTCCCCCTCCCCCTCCCTTCCTCCCTCCACCCCTTTCTGGCTTTTGTACTCTCTTGCTTGCTCTCTTGCTCCCTCTCTCGCTCTCTAAATAAGCAAACAAACAAATTTCTCTGATAAGCAGTGTACCATTCTGATCATTTGTTGAAGACAACTAACTGAATCAGTTATCTGTAATTTGAAGGCTGATTGCTGTGTGTCTGATGGGAAACAGAATGCATGTCCTATGATTCAGTTCACTTTTAAAGGGAAGTGAATATTTACAACCTTCCTTTAGAGAGCTAGCATGCACAGAATGAGAACAGTATTCACACTATTTTGTCATTACATTTTTATCTGAATGCTTGGTTTTTTTAATCTGACCTGGCAGTCAATGTATTTTTCAAGAAATAAGTCTATAAGTGAAGACACACGTGACTTTGAAACGAGATGGGAATTAAAGAGCTAATGATAGAATATTTTTCTGTGAGGTTAGTGCAGAAAACTCCCAGAGTTTAAAAAACAAGTTTATCAGGTATAACTTATATGACCCAAACTTACTCTGCTAGTAGTAATTTTCATTCCCAAGTATGAAATCAAAATTCTCACTTTTTGGTAAATCAAAGCAAAATGTAAACAGAATGTAGTCAAAACGTATGTGGGACTTCCTAGTCTTTACATTCTCACACCTTCTCTGTAAGTTTTGAATTACTTCAAAATTAATATTTATCCCCCAAATTCCTATTGTTTTCTAAAATTAGATGCATGTGTATTTTTATTCAGGCTTTTAGCCTTTCCTAGAAGATTGGAAAATATTCACAATATTTATGTTTCTTATTTTCATTCTCTTTCACCTAATTACAAAGTCAGAATTTGATAAACCTATTTGGCAAGAGGCAAGGGACTGTATATTAATTTGGTTTCTGATTATAGTCTTTTAGTCCCACACTGTTACCTTGCCCTTAATTTTTACTTTACAGACTAATTTTGTGAGGAGGCGCTAAAATCCTGTTGCCACCCAACTTGTACTCCCAACGTGCTTTTCTTCACCTAACACCTTGATCATTAAGTTCTTCTTTTAACCAGCATATTTCTCCCTAAGGTATTTGCATTTTCAGCCTTCAGCATAATTCTGCTAGTCAACTGATAGCACACAGTTAAATCCTGAGATTGCCAGAAGTGCATGATTTCTGAATCTAGACTTTCTTAGTGTATCCTACACGTGAAACGAGCCTCACCTCCTAGAAATTATTCACCTATGCTGTCATTTTGTAACACTCAGGAAAACTAGGTTCGTTTTCCAGATTTGGAAACCCAAGCCACAGGTGCAAAGTGACTAATCCACTTATAAGCAGTGAATGTGGAATGTGGACTTGACCAGAATTCAGGTACTGTATTTTTATTTGCAGTGAATTCAGACTGATAGGCAGCTAAGTGTTCTTGTCAGAGCACCTGACCCCTCTGAGTCTGTTTTCTCATCCACAGTATGATGATCCTGTTTAGCCTTCCCCGCAGGCTTGTTGTCAGGCACAATCAGGGTGAAGTCAGGGGCAGTAATTGGAAAACTGTAAAATGCTCTAGTGTCTCATCTTTCTTTTTTCTCTTTATTATTTTGCATAGGATTCTTTTAATTTTCCCAGTTGAGTGCTAAACTCTTTGGCTTGTTAACGTTCCATCGCCACATAATTCTTAAGCTTGCTACAGTGTGGTTATTTTTCTTTCATCTTTTTGATTAGTATTTTGGGTGGACATTGTTGCCAGTAATTTCAAACTGTTTTTAACTTTATGGAGATGATAACAGTCACCATGAAATCACTGAGGACTGTAATCGATTTAGGATAATTTAATCTTTTGTTTTGCAGTCCCAGGCTGTCTAATCTTCCTGGCTGGTCCCTAAAGGATGGAAATGCTTTCTTGGACAAGGTAATGATAACTGAAGCATATCTATACCCAGTGGAAAGCCATCTTGTCACACCAGAGCCACCGTATAGTACTGTGACTGATGGGTTCATTTTTTTCTCAATATATTCTCTCAGAAAAACCCCAAGATCCATGTAGGGTCTTCAGTACTTGGTGATTATTGTCTCTAAGAGCCTTTTAGGGAATCTCAGTGTTCAAATTCAGGTCCAATTTGCTCGTATGTAAAAATCTAAAAACTTCTGCTGCAAATACATTTTATCACCACAGAAAGAAAACTATTATTTTTAGAATTGCGATGAGAGTTTCAAAGGTAATACTGATAGAGAGTTCCATCCAATTCATTCTATTTTCAGGCTAGACTGACACCATGACTGGAAAGAGTAAAACTTTAAAAAAAAAAAAAAAAAAAGACTTTAAAATCCTCAAGTATGTGAGTTTTAAACTGCTTCTATCCATGCTTAGGGAAGGTGGGGCTTTGAAAAAAGTTTGGTTCTTACTCTTTGGGTGAGGAGAGGCCATGGAAGATTGCAGGAGGGCAGTGTCATCATCTGATCAGATCTCTTGCTGCCTTGTGGGGAACAGACTATGAAGCCAGTGTTTAACTTCCCAGGCAATGTTCTTGGGGGAGTGGGAGAGTAACATGATCTTGGGTGAATTCAAATTGAGGGCCTTCCAAACTATGAACTAGGATCTCACTCCAGCCTTTCCTGGTAGCCTGGAATGGATAACCTTATAGGTATGAAAAGAGAGCACACAACTAGGAATCTAGGATTTGGGGCCCTACTCTGACTTTAATCATGGACTAGCCCTACAGTAAATGACTTAAATAACTTTTTTCTTCAAGGCTATTAAATTTTTGACATTGGATTATCATCACAATAATTCCTTCCTCCGACCAGTTTTTAGGCAGTTAATTTATAAATGAGAGACCAAAGGTACAAAAAATGTTAAAACTATAATCTAGTCACCTTTTCTCCTAAAAAAAAAATCACGGGCAAAGGAAGGTCAAAAACTGTGAAGCTCATCCATGCCGTTCTCAGTCCTCTAAATCATTCTTCCTCTCCCAAGTTTCACAATTGAAAGACTAAAGAAATTTAAAGATCCTCAAAATGACTCATCCGCATAAGGCATTTCCTTCTTGTAATAGGTACTGTTAAATAAAGAGGGGATCTTTTTACAGAATTAATTTCTGTAACTGCACCCCAACCTCCAGTGCAAGGCAAATGCATAATTTGAAACCAGGTTTCCCTCATAGCCAACTATAAAATTATGTGACATTCAGAAATCTGTGCACCTGATTTCAGCCTAACTCTCCTGCTGGCTGTAAATCATTATTCCCTGAGAAAGGCTCAGAAGCATCCCATTACCAGTGCATTGTGAGCGAAAATGACTTGCATGTGTATGTGGGAGCGTTTCATTAGAAGGGAGTGGTGAATAAAATACAGGGGCACTGTAAGTGCGTGGAATGCAAATATGCTTCTCCAGGCCAGAAAGCGTCAGAAGAGGCTCTGTCATGTGAGCTAGACATGCCCTGATGTGTAGCATTATGGAGAAGAAGAATACATAGCCAGTTTAAGAGCAGTCAGGGCTTTGACATTTCCCATGATTTGTCTCTAATCATATTTAACCTCATCCTAAGGGAGTTGGGAGTCTTCTCCCATTAAACATAATTGTTCATTTGTTTTTAGCTAGCAGGTACACTGTAATTAAGAACTATTTTCAGTCTGTTTTTGGCTTAGTGTTTCACTGTTTAAAAGGTAGTCATATAAAGAGAGGAACCGGAACCAGAGTTTACTGTGGAAGGTAAGGGGAGGAAACCTTCTGTCAAGGTTCTGATATAAGACCTGTAAAATTCAAAAGGAGAATTGCATAGTTAATACCCTAATTTCGGATAAAGATTGAGAATAAAACCATTCAAGCTCCCATGTGTAAAGACACTTGTATATGAATATATAGAAATACATGTTCAATGACTAATGAAAACATGATGGAACAAAATTCTAACAGTATTTTTCTTTTTCTGGAAAGAGCAAACTGTCGAGCAAATTCTCACTTTTACTGGTTTCCTTATAAAGTCACAGAAGACTTTGACCTTGATGAAGCAAAAAATCCTCCACAGATTTCAGTTTCAAGTATAATGTGGGAAGATAGCCACTCGAGTGGCTTTCTGGAGGCATTTGTAGCAGACCCCATAGGTGGCCCCCTCGTGCCTCTTCAGTGTGCTGCTCTGTCATAATTTCAGCTGCCCATACCTGGATGAGTCTGCCGGAGAGTTTTCCCCTGAAGCTGCACAAATGCAGGAGTTACCATGTAAATAAATATCCTAGATCCGTTGCCTCTGAGGAGGGTAACTCCGAGGTGTGTGTTTCACACCATTTCTCAGAGTTCCCCATGGGAAGAAGTCCCAGCTGCCCACAGTGGGGTACAGCTTAGTAACATACCCATGATCAGCCCCCTTCCTTTCCCGATCGCCCATCAGGGCGCCCGTCCTCCTGCCCTTTTTTCAGCACTTCCGTGTTAGCTTGCACTCACCATTTTCTCAAGGTCTGTTTATGAGGGAATTCAAACTAAGACATATTAAATATGGTAGGGCACAAGCAGAGTAGGGAATTGTACTATATTCTCTTTCTATATAAGTGTACTTTTTTCTTTTGAATAAATACATGTGGTTTATAATCCCAAATGAATTGTGTGCTCCGTGAGGACAAAGGTTACGTTCACAGAGGTGATAGTAGTGGTGGTGGTTTAATCCCTACCCTCTGCGCTTCATCTCCCTCCTTGCTTGCCCCTTGTCCCTCACCCTTCGATCCTTGGTAGGAGGAGAAAAAGCCTCTAAGTCGTTTGTCCTTGGCCAGGACTCCTAACCTGATTGCATAACAAAATCATTAGAGGTGCTTATTATAAATATAGGTTTCAAGGCCTCATATCCAGATTTCTAATCCCTTGATGGAGCCTAGGAATCTTTACTTCCATCAGCGTTCCCAGATGATTCTGATATTGCTGGTATAGGCTATGTAACTATTACTTGGGAAGCACTGCATTGTGATTTAGAAAGCAGCGTATATCCACACATGCTTGAAGAGACATCGAGAAATGCGCATTCAAGCCCCAAGTCAGCCACCAACCAGCGTTTTTTATCCTGCATAAGACACTTAACCTCCCTGAGCCTAAACACGAAAGCAGTTGGCCTGAATAACCTTCCGACTTCCCTCCAACTCTCTAGCAGTCTGTGATTCTTCATGGAAAGTTTGGTTTGGGGATGAAGTTTCTTTGGTGCTATATCTGTTAGATATCTCTTCCTAGAATTTTTTCCTTTTGGTTTCTTTTAGGAATTAAAAGAGTGCTCAGGTCATGTATTTGTGGATTCTGTGCCTGAATTCTGCTTGCCAGAGGTAAGATGAAAGTGATTCTTATTGTAGAAACAAAGCATATCTTGTCATCTCTCAAAATGGAAGTCAAGAAATAATCTTAAGGGGCTTAGCTTTCTGTTTTCAAAATGAAATGAATCTATTATTCCAGGCACATTATCATGCAACTAAAATATAATCATTTAGGAGCCTTTTATATTATCTGTAAGAAATTTAACTCTCCTTTTTGTATTCCTAGCTCTTTCTATAATCCCCACTGACACTTGTACCAGGGCATAGTTCTGAGCATGATACAGAAATAACTCAAGCCTTTCAGTTTTGTAATTATATCCCTGTGTCTTAGATTAGCCATACTGTTTGTAGTCTTGCTTACAGTGGGTAATTGGGAATTGCTGTTATTCAACCAATACAGTAAACTGTAATATCAAATATTGCTTGAAATTCACAGATTCTGAATTGAGCCACGGATACCTATTCACTTACATATTATTATCACAGTGACACTTGTTTTAAGAGTTTGGGGTCAGTTTTATCATTTTAAAGAAAACAAAGGTCAGTTTCCATTCATTTTAATTTTTTGTTTCCTTGTTTTTATTTATTTTTGAGAGAGAGACAGAGAGGCGAGCGGCAGAGGGTTAGAGAGAGAGGGACAGAGAACCCGAAGGAGGCTCCAGGCTCCAAGCTGTCAGCACAGAGCCCAACACGTGACTCAAACTCAGGAACCATGAGATCATGACCTGAGCCGAAGTCGGACACTTAACCAACTGAGCCACCCAGGCGTGCCCCTGCCCCATTCACTTTAAATGCAGCTAAGTGATCTCAGTTGACAGAGTCCTGATCTCTAGAGCGGTCTAGATGGCATTCTCAACAGACAAAGTATAGGGAGGCCAGTAGCTAGTCCCAGGTTCCTAAGGAAATCAGTGAGAAGCTACCATCCTGTTCTTTCCATGTACCCAGTGGATTATGGTGCCTCTAGAAAATACTGTCACAATTCAGTGCCAGAAGAAAATTTGAAGTACTATTTCCCTTATTTTTGTACTCTTTCTCCGTCTCTTTCCATTTTAACACCTTCTTTGATATTCTGTAGATAAACTTGTTTTCTCTCGTTGAAGTATGTGTATGTGCCCTTTTGGAGTTGTGGAACAAGATTGGTAACTGAAGGTGGCAGACAAGGGAACAAGTTTGAGATAAAGTAGTAAGAGAAACAGTGAAGGTAAAGAGTTGCCAAGAATCCTGAGCTCTTCCTAACTGCTATTCAAATCTTTTGTCACCTTCATTTGTCATTTAGGAATTGGTGGGGCAGGTCCCCATCTGTTCAGAGATTCCTAATCCCAGGTGCTGCATTTATTTTCAGCTTGCTACATATGGCACTGACTGCAGCAACCTTCAGTTTATGGACCACAGTGTAGAATTTATGAATTGGTGTTCTGATGACTTTCGGACCTGCTCCATGGAGTACTAATCAATTAGAAATTGGAATTAAACAATTCGTATTTTGGGCACCTGGTTGGCTCAGTCAGTTAAGTGTCCGACTTCGGCTCAAGTCATGATCTCACGGTCCATGAGTTTGAGCCCTGTGTCAGGCTCTGTGCTGATAGCTCAGAGGCTGGACCCGCTTTGGATTCTGTGTCTCCCTCTCTCTCTGCCCCTCCCCTGCTCATGCTCTGTCTCTCTCATTTAAATGTTTTAAATAAACATTTTTAAAAAATTACTATTTCACAGTTCACCTTTTGCTTGGCTAAAGGATTATTGATATATTTAGGCTTCTAGAGCTATGTAAGTTTTTTCAGCTTGTATTGTCTTGTAGTTTGTGTCAAGTTAGTAATAGTCACTATTTTAAGGTAGAGGCAGGGCATTGTATGATTGGGAGAAAATAGGAGAGTCACAGAATCAGGACAGATATACTTATTCCAGTGCAGTCTTCAGAAACTTATAGGTGAGCTAATCCCAGTCTTCCTGGAATTTAAAATCTAGTGCAACTACCTTAAATATTTTTGTATCTGCCTAAGTCCACACTGTAGACGGAGTATAAAGTCTAGGGCAATATAGTAAGAAACCAATAAATTATGAGTGTTTGACCCAATTCATGGTCTATAGAACCCAAATGTCTATATACAACAAGTTTAAAATTAAAATAATCTTTATTGGATTTTGAGTGAAAGAATGTAAACAAAAACATAAATGCGAGTATATAAACATGGTTTGGATGTTAAATTTATTTCTCAGGAAAAATGCTTATGTAGGCACCCTTGATATATATACAGACAGAATATATATGTATACATATATTTTTTTCTTCTAGCTGTCCTTACCAAATTTCTAATCATTCTAGACTCTGTGGGCTGACTCTTACATATTAAAGAGAAATTTCAAACTCACCCAGTTTCTCTGTGCAAGAGGGAAAGGAGATGCTTTTGAGCTTTCTTGTTGTTTCAACCGTTGTTTTCTTGTTTTCTAAAGTTTTTTTTTTTAAGTTTATTTATTTATTTGGGGCGGGGGTGCTGGGGAAGGACCTTGGAGAAAGGAGAGAAAAGAGAATCTGAATCACAGTGCCAGCGCAGGCCTGACACAGGGAGCCTCCTAGGCTGTGAGATCATGGCCTGGGCAGGGAATCCAGAGATGGGCACTTAACTGATTGAGCCACCCAGGCATTCCCTTGTTTTCTGGATCTGTCACTCTGCGATTATGTCTTAATTTTCTTATTTGTTTAAGAATGGTTCTAGAGAGGTAGTAGGGAATAGAACTATTGGAATGTTACATGACCCTTCCTTATGAGGATATTGTCCTGGAAGTGCAATGCACACATGGAGTTAAGGGTGGTGTAAATTAGCTGTTACTGTCATTAGGCATTTTATTCACACAGATTGCCATTGCCCTAGCAGTGAGTAACTTCTGACCTCTAATCTACATGCTGTCCTCAGGAGCTGATTATCTCTTGGCAGCTTTATTAAATTAACTTACTTTGTATGTAAAGCCATTCAACCAGAAAATACCCACAGCCAAAATGGCAAACTGTCTCTATTATTTGTAAGATGGCACAGAGCTCTTTGTTCTTACTTCTTCTCTGTGGGAGACATAATAGCTCAACAACCCATTCTCCCAACTAAAACACTTCCTTGACTTACCCTATGCTGTCGTTAGTACACCATACAATTTCTCAGAGGTAACTTTAGTGATTGAGACAATGTCTCTGAATAATCGCGATTCACTTTTCCCATAGAAAGTGCCAGTTCTAATGATGCATTCCTCCAATAGCAGTGCACCTAGGCCTGTTTTGCACTTGGCTACCACAACTGGGAGGGGACAGAGATGAGTCACACAGGATTCTTACCCTCAGAGGCATTTAATATTGGAGGGACAAAGTGGTGCTTTGAGGAGCTGTTTTACAGAATGGCAACAGTCATAAGAGGGGCATCTACATAGAGACACCTGGGTGGCTCAGTTGGTTGAGCATCCAGCTTTGGCTCAGGTCATCATCTCACAGTTTGTGAGTTCAAGCC